AGACTAGCCAGCTCAAGTGCTTAAGCTAGGAACTGTAATATAGTTACCTCCATTTTAGCATTCGTCCACCGAGGTACTTCCACAACCATGTTGAACACATTCTGAAAAAAGCAAAATATCAGGGAATGGGAAAGAATCTCAAGACTGCACTTTAAACTAGGGAACACATATAAATAAGTATGAAAACCAGCCAGTTCATATGAAAAACATAACTTTTTTCCTGTTGTTTTTTTTTTTTTTTACAGTGCCAGTTTTGATACAGTTGACAGAAGTCCTGTAGTCCAGTCAGTCATATGTCATCACTCAAACCTAAATCCCATGAAAGACACCAGCAAAAGCTAGACTGAGGTTACCCATGAGTTCTCCATCAGTTGGCACCTAAAAACATCTCCATCATGTTCCTAGGTTACAGAACAGTAGGTTTAAATTAACTGAAGACAGTTGCATACAAACTATCCTGGACGTAACAAAACAAGGTTATAGGCACACTTATTAAATACAAAGCCCTTAATGCTACAGAGAGAGCCACCCTGGCAATTTAGAAGAGACAAGGCTTATAAGAATAAGCCACCTATTTAATAGCCTGGGTACCTACACACTATCCTGAGTGACCGAGAACATCACTCCCAAATATTCCAGTCCATCTTGAAGAAAGAAGCAGGGAAAGATGTACGAGCACCCCCTCTCCAAGCCAACACTCCTATAAAAGCAGACCTTGTTAGTGGCATGGTGCGAGGATAAACATGTGGGGGAGAAAAACAGAACTGCATCTTGCAGTATCTAGTGTTTACAGGTGACGCTTGAAAACATCTCCTGTTAACACCAGCTGGGCTGAGAGGACTCTTCAGAGCTCAATGCCAGAGTCTCCTCTTCAAGAAAACAAGCTTTTCCATGCTTGAACCTTAACATTTGCTGTTTGAAGAGATTATGGCTTTTAACAAAGAAGTCAAACCTTGTTCCCTAGCATCGACAAGGTTTCTAATCCCCAGGTTAAGCAGTATTAGCATTGGGAAATCCCTTGCACCTGTATTGCGCCATAATTAGATCGCTATTGTGCAATGAATGCTGCTACATCATTGACTTTGCCCACACCCCTCCCTAACAGAAGTTTATTACAACCCCTTAATTGCAGGGGGTCACTGCTCATTTGCAATTTAAAAGTAAAAAGGTCTATATTATTTTTACTTTTAAGTAACTTGAGGAAAAGAACGAGGCAATCGGAACTGGCTAGATAAGGTGCTTACGGCTTTATGGGCAAGGAAAGACCACTTGGGGGTGCATCTTTGTTAGCCTCGTAGGTTCCCCAGACTCCTATGGACAGACCTGCCTTGGTCTAAGACACCCAGTGAGTAGCCCAAGGTCATTTCTTCACAGTGCCAAGACACACAGGTACAGATAAGGTCAGCACATCCCAGCCCTAGACTGAAAAAAAACCACCCTGCAATCCTCTCAGTGTCTTAGAAGTCTATGGATAAAGATCAAGGAGCCCAGACAGGTCAAGAAAACCTTTTGCTCCAAGCTGGGCTCCCTATTGAAGTAATTGCATACATTGGGTAATGAACCCACTAAGCAACGAGTAAAATCTCTGCAGAGAGGCACTCCAGCAACAGAAAGAGGTCTAATGTGATCAGCACTATTGTGTAACTTCGGGGACTGCGACCTTCAGTGATACTTGCTTCTCTTAATTACTTGGCACAGAGATGCTGGCAAGCAGCACTAAGCGCCTGAAGGCACACCAGCAGTCCAGCTTCCCTTGTTAATCATTACCAGCCCACGGAAACCCTCCTCACCCCTGTACTCACTCTCCTGCTCTTTCCTCCCTTGCTCTGCAAGCATCCGCAAAGCAGAGTATTATCTGGATTTTCCTTGCCTGAGTTACCTTTCAGCCACCTGCTTTTGAAAACTGCTTTCCCAGTCAGCCACAGAAACTGCTTCGCCATTGTCCTTGATGATTACAATCCATCTGTTCCCTTCTGAGCAGGCAAAAGCCACCTCAGACTTCCCAGAGCATGTTCTGACAACACCTGCACCTCAAAGCTCAATCAGATACTTTTTTTTAGAGGTTCATCTCCCAATTCTACACACTCTTTTCCTTTCCCATAACCACCCTCTACCTCCAAATTACACCTCTCTATCACACCCATTAGAATAGTTCATCCACTATGTTTCTCAAGCTGCACAACTGTTCAGTATGTGTTGAAAGAATGAGCTACAAAGGTAAGGAATACAGTCAGAGAGAGCCTGAGTTACCACTGAAACAGCATTCAGTGAAAACTGAAGCACAGCCATTTTGGTTTCCTAGAGCTGGGGCGTTTTAGACAGTGATTTAGAAGAACCTAATTTGACTAACTGTTGGCTGCCAGAAGGATGTAAAAGCCCTGCATCACTGCATGTGGCAGGTTCCCCAGCTGCACTTTTGGTGAGGCAAGAGGTCCCCAGGCGCCGCTACAGCAAGAATTTAACATCCTTGCCTTCTGTTCAGCAGCTGATTACACTGCAGGCATAAAGCGGCCTTACTGCAGCCAAAACCCAAGCCTGAAATATCATGCGTCACGAGCACATAACTCCACAGGAGTGGATGTAGATATTTAGTTAAATGGAAAATTGCTTCTTTTAACCCAAAACGTTTTCATATGACCTCATGGGCAGGTTCAAGATAACCACTCGTATCTCAAGACACAAATATGAGAATGAGATCATCCATTCTCTTCTCCTTCATTGCTCCACCCGAGGCCGAGACTTACGAGAAAAGGGCACCCATTCATCGCAAGATCTGGCGATGCTTCTGTTAGGTGCTCCCGCTGAGAAGCAGCGCAAAGAAGCGAGAGCATCCCTCGGGTATTTCAGGCCTGCAGGACCACACTCCCCCAGGAGCACTGACAAAATACTCACCCCCGGGAGCCCAGAGCTCCAGCTGTCACCGGCCCCAGGCTAACAAGGCCGCACCAGCCACCTGGCTTGGTGGTCCTTACCCCCCCC